GATGTTCTGGCCGGTGGTTACCAGCACGTTGGTACTGCGAGGGGCCTGAGATGAGGAAGCCCGAGTCCTGTCCATTTACCTCTGCTCCTCTCTCCATCTCCACACACAGGGCCATTTTCTTCTCCTGGATAATGGAACAATGAGGCAGCGGTCTCCACCTCCCACGCGGGGGCAGAAGCTTAGCAGAAACAAAGCCTTGAACAAGCCGTCTTTGTTCTGGAGAGAGGGCCAGCATGGTACCAGGCTGAAGGAAGGCCTTTCGTGTCTGCCCAGGACGGCTGAGTGACAACTACGGTTGGGGTACGTGTAGCACCAGGAAAGCACGGCTGGGGCATTCTTAGGAACCAAACTTAGCGTGCGGACAGCAGGCCCGCCAGAGGAGGTCCTGCAGGACGGCGGGTTCTCCTGCTTTCCAGCTGGGTCTTGCTTTCTGGGACATGATTGAAGGACTCAGGGTTAGCAGGCTTGACTGAGGTGCAGCATTGAATGATGGGATGCAGAGCCAGGAAGAGGGGGTTCTCGTGTGCTAGCCCATGAAGCGGCAAGATGGAGGTACGAAGGGCTGAGCAGAGGCCTTGAGAGCGGTCTGGGTGATGGATGGACAGAAAGGGGATCGAGAGCTCACCTGAACTGCAGGCTGCAAAACTGGCTCTTCAGTTATGAAAACGTGTCTTCTAACTGGGGAAACTGAGGATACAGCCCAGTTAGAGGTGGCGGGGGAGTGCTGCCCAGACTCCAGGCCTCCTTCTAGTTGTCACTCTACCTCTCTCTGCCAACAGCCCCTTAGCAGAGCAGCTCAGACCTTCCGAGGTGCAGGAGGCTGCAGCCTGGCTCTCCTGGGCTTAGGAGCGCTATGGACACTGATGTGACAGTGACCTTGGCGTCTTCACAGGTGGCAGCAGCGGCTCTGGAGCGGAGGGGGGCAGAGCCCGAATGCTGGTTTATGTCTTTGGGAATGGTGCTTCCTGAGGCCTCGGGTTGCCTGAGTGGCGCAGACTGTCGCGAGATTAGCTGAACCTCACATACTCGGGTGTGGCATAGAGAGACCCAGCGGGGCAGGCTCTTCAGCCTGCTTCCTTCTGCTGCGGCGGCCACTGCTCTCCTTCCCTCCTGGGCTGGTCTCTCTGAGGTCTAAAGTCCCGAAATGTTGGGACTAAGATTCTGTAAATAGGGTGCCTTCATTGTGCATTTCGCATTGGCCCATTCCTTGATGATACCGCTGGGCCTCCTGCCTGGCAAGAAGGCTGACAGGGAGAGCCGGCTGCACTGCAGTCCCCTGCCTGGATTTCTCCAGGAATAGAATGCGAGGGAGGATCTTAACAGATCACGGAGTTGCCCTCTCCCCTCACCAGCAGGCTCCAACCTAATCCCTCCTAGATAACCCTCTATCCCAGCTTCCTGGAAGCTGCTAAGTTGTGTCCACATTTATTTTGGTGTAAAAACCCCTTGACATCCATGCATAATTTTCTCACAATATGCATTTCCATGAACTTTTGAAGACCTCACTTAAATCTATTTATCAAGAGATTGATTTTTTAAAAAATTTACAGAGACCAGCAGTTAGCGTAATGGCTGTGTCGCTGGACTCCCACGTAGTCGACCGCGGTTCGCATCCCGGACCCGGTGGCTTAGAACTCACGCTGGGCGCGTGTGCGTGCGTGCCCAAGATCCCGAGAGAACGGAGGAGAACGGATTGCGGTGTGGACATCTACCCTGGGGGGTGATTTCTCGCTTTCTGTCTCTCTGTCTCTCTCTCTGTCTGTCTGTCTGGAGAGTATACGCGCCCTATAGCAAAAACCTCTCCCCCCAAAAAATTTATAAGAATTATTTTATTTAACTTTATTTATTTATTTATTTATTTTCACCAGATAGAGAAAGAGAGAATGAGAGAGAGAGAAAGTAAGAAAGCAAGCCGTCTTGTCCAGGACTCAAACCACAGTCAGCCATGTGGGAGTCCAGTGTCTTTAACCACTATGCCACCTGCTGGCCCCAAGAGACTGATTTTTAAAAAAATACTATCCCTGGGCTGGCAGGTGGAGTGGTGGTTAAGGAGCTGGACTCCCATATAGCCAACAGTGGTTCAAGTCCTGGACCTAGCAGTTGGCTTTCTCATTTTCCCTCTCTCTTTGTCTGCCTGTCTCTCTTTCTCTGATCAGATTAAAAATGACAACAATGATGAATACAATTAAATAAGTAAATACTCTCTCCCCTAAACCCCAGACATTTGTTTATATGAAATTCAAAGTTATGAATGGGTCTCAGATATACCAGTGTTCTCTATTTGCACATATGGCCATCTTTTTCTCTTCGGATCCCACATGTCGGGGACTCTTGAGTACCCAGTGGTGTGCTTGATGACAATGAGGAAGGCTACCATTATTTACTTAAAGCATATGCCTGGCATTTCACTCAGCTAATACCCCTCTTAAAAGTCTTATAAGGTGGGGTCAGCAGGTGGTGTAGTGGCTATGATGCTGGACTCCCACATGGCCAACCATGGTTCGAGTCCTAGACCTGGTGACTTGCAATAAAGTGTGTGCATATATGCCCAAAGTTGCTAGAGGAGAAGGGACTGCAGCATGGCCACCCCCTAAAGGGTGATTTCTTACTTTCCCTCTCACTGTCTCTCTCTGGCAAGTGCACACACCCTATGGCAAATAAAACCAAAAAAAAAAAAAAAATTAACAAAACTTAAAAAAAAAAAGCCTCATAATGATAAAGTTCTTATCATTTCTGTGTGGTAGTGTGGGAAACTGAGGCTTATCATTTTAAGTGACTTTCCTAAAGCCAGTCAGCAGGTGACTGGTGGATTTAGGATTTGAACCCAGGTCCTGGAGCTCTAGGGCCCACATCTTTAAGCACTATGCAACGGAGCCTTGAATCCAAGCTTGAGATAAATGCCTCTGACTCCCTCCCCACCTTTAAGTTAACAGGCACAGAGAAGGAGGTCAAGCATCATGTGAGTCCCACAGCCGCCCACTGAGGAGCAGCCTACATCTGAAGTCCTCTGCAGGTTCAAGGGCAAGGTCTATCAGAGATTAGAGGGGTTGGCTCCAGTGTGTGCATCCCGGCCTTCTGGAAACTTCTTTCTGGTAAGTGTCAACTCATTCCTCAAACCATGTCAGCTAAGAGCCACCTCTAGAGGGGATGACAGGCAGGCCATGGACAACCGGCTGGCAGTGATTTATAGCGAGTGGGTTTTTAAGGCAGCAACCACCACACACACTGCTTCTCAGTAGCACACTGTGGTCCTTTCAGGCTTGGGTTGGCCTCCAAGGGATGAGGAGATCCCAGCATAATGTCAAGGCAAGATTCAAACACATCTGCTTCACATGCCTGGCCAGGCCATCTGACTAGAGTCGGAAAAGCAGAGGTAACCCCTTGGGGAAAGCCAGGAATGTTTTGCGCCAAAACCACGTCTTAGCTGCTGGCGACCTCACTTTCCAGGCAGGCCATAGATGCTGCCTGAAGGCTGGAGACTCAGCCACGCCGTTGGCCATGTGGGATCCAGCCATTTTAACCAGCTACGGTGGGCCCGATTTATCAATCTCTTAAAAACTTGCCTTTATTTGAGACCAGCAGTTGGCATAATGGCTATGTCTCTGGACTCCCATGTAGTCGATCACAGTTTGAGTCTCGGATCCGGTGGCTTAAACTTACTCTGGGTGCATGTGTGTGGGTGCCCAAGATCCTGAGAGGAGAATGGAAGACAAGGGATTGTGGCATGGCCATCCCCCTAGGGGGTGATTTCTTGCTTTCTGTCTCTCTGTCTCTGTCTTTCTGGCCAGTGCATGCGCCCTATAGCAAAAAATAAAACAAACAAACAAACAAACAAACAAAAAAACCTCTCCAACAAACAAATAAACAAACGAACAAAAACTTGCCTTTCTTAAACTCCCCTAAAGTTTATAGCAATTGCACTGGAAGAGTTTGCAGGGTCCTGGAGGGCTTGAAAGCTCCTGGGTCTCTGGACCTCCATACTCTCTCCAGCTATCTGCACCTACCTCTGCCACTGACCCTTCGCCCCCTCTCTCCTTTGCTGATCAGTCTTTCTCCTGCTCTGTCTGACCCTCACACTGCTCCATGGAGCTCAGTCTCCTGCCATTGCCCCTTGCTCTTGCCTCCCTCTGACTCTTCCTGGGTGCGGCCGTGGAGGTTGTCCACTGCGCGAAGGTGCCTTGCTGGCTCTGCTTGCCGAGCTCCGTCTGGACGGGTGCCCATTTCCTCTGGGTACAAAGGGGCTTGGGAAGCATTAGCAGCTGCCAGGCTGGTGCTTTGCATGGCTTCTTCTCTGCCTCCCCTGGAGCAGAGGGGGCCCCTCTGTTGGCACCAGCTCCTCAAAGCCACAGCAGCAGGCGCTGGAGAACACCCAATGTCCTTAAAGTGCCATTGTGTAGTCCAAATGGAACCTGGTCCACTAAAGATAGCCCCGGCTGTGACAACCTCGCTGCTGAGTCTGATTTGCTAGGAACTTTAGGGAGAGTTCAAACAAACAAACGCGTTGTAGGGAATGTGGCAAATTTGGTAAGTCTGGCAGTCTGATCCATCAGCTTTTACTGAATTAGCTTGGTGCATAGAAAGAGGAAGGCCTGGCTCTCTCTGGGACACTGCTTCCCTCCTGAAAAGACTGACAGCAAAGACATCACCAATAGCGCTTTACAATTTCACCTCCAAATCAAGAGTCCATGCAAAATCTTGGCAGAGCCCAAGGGGTTGGGAGGCCGAGTTCCTGCAAGGTTGGCATTGCCGGTTGCCTTTGCCAACAAGAAGGACTGCTGTGCCTGTGGCCTCTCGTCAGCCCTGCAGCCGGCCAGCCCTGCAGCCGGCCAGCCCAGGGTGCCCCTGAAAGCAGTAACCTTTGAGGACACACTCGTCATGACTGCTGTCAGGCATGTGAGTGACACCGATGCGGCTCCACGGACGGTTCAGGGCACAGTGGCCGCCAGCTCCAACTCGGGCACCAGTGGCTGCCAGTTCCTTGCGGCTGGTCCTGCCCTCTCTTTGCTTCTGGGTCACTATCCTGAGCCTTTGTCTCATCTCCAAGCTCTGCCACCCTGCAGTCCCCATGGTGAACTGAGCCACTGCAGCCGCTGCTCCAGGGGCTGCCCCAGACAGTGCCCTGTGCTTTCTGTTCCTGTCACTGCAGCTAGCGGCTGGCTGGTCTGTGCCACCGTGCTGTCCCCACTCTGCACGACGATCACTCCCTTGTTGCTAGGGGATTCATTTTCATCTGGCAAATCCAGCACTGTGAGCTAATCTTTCAGACCAACCGACGGTACCTCGCCCTTCGCCCTCGTCCTCCTGAGGAGTTTAGCCTCCTGCCTCACGTGCCTGACGGCGCCTCTGAAGGACCGAAAGCCAGGTACTGATAGGGAGAGGAAATACTTTTTTTTCCTTTAGGTTCAGAAGGCACATGCACTTGCCAGAGAGAAACAGAAAAGAGAAGGAGGGGGAGAAAGCATGCTTCAGTGGGCATGGTCACTCCGCAATCCCTTCTCTTCCGTGTCCCCACCCTGCTGGGTCTGGGCCACACACACATGCATTCAGTGTCCAAGCTGCTGGGGCTGGGATTCGAATCATGGTCCACCATGTGACATCTGGCCCTCTTAACCACTGGGCTACAGGACTGGCCCAGAACAGGAAATACTTCTATATTTCTGCTGTTCCCTCTTCCTGAATTCACCCCCTGTTCCAGAAGACAAGGGCTGTTTTTCTTGGAGCCTAGTAGCTGAAAAAAAACAAACCTGGATATGTATATGTGGATAAGAAGATCTCGAGTAGGACGGATATGCTGAATTTAAACCAAAACTCTCCAATAGGGAGTAGATGAGCATCTGTATTGTGGCATGCAAATACGAGTCTCTAACTGTCAAAAGTGACATAGCCTGGGGCCAGCAGTTGGCCTAAATGGCTATGTCGCTGGACTCCCACGTAGTCGACCATAGATTGAGTCCTGGACCTGGAGGCTTAAACTCACACCAGGCATGTGTGTGTGCATGCCCAAGATCCCAAGAGGATAACAGAGGAGAAGGGATTGTGGTGTGGCCATCCCCCGGGGGGGTGATTTCTTGCTTTCTGTCTCCCTCTGTGTTGCTGGCAAGCTCACATGCCCTATAGCAAAAACCTCTTCAAAAAAAAAAAAAAAAAAAAGAAAAAGAAAAAAATGACTCACCGTATTTTTCCCAGGAAAAGCAGATATGAAACTCGACTTGTCAGGGCCCTAAGACAGTGCTTTCTGATGGGAAGAATGAATTTTTGTTCTGAAAAGCCTAGGTTCTCCTTTGAAATGCAGCTAGCACTTAGTCACTGGGTATTGGCGGGGTCCATGGGGTAAGCCCTTCTTAAAGGCTCAGGGACAAGAGCTAGCTTCCCCAAAGAGCCATGCACAGGAAAGTACACTGCCATGGTTTGAAAATGCCCCCCAAAATTCATGTGTAAAAATCGGTGGTCCTACTGTGACAGTATTAAGAGGGTGGGAACTGTATCCGACTGTGATAGTAAGTGGTGGCGCCTCTGGGAGGCGATTAGGGCTAGATTAGTCATCAGGGCGATAGCTCTGTGACCAACTTGATAAGGGGCACGGATGTAGAGACGCAGATGCAGCCGCTCACCGTGTGATACTCCGTGCCACCCGCGGACTCTGCAGAGTCTCCGGCAACTGGAAGGCCATAGACGGCCCCTTGACCTTGGGTGTCCAAAACTGTGAGCTAAGTAAATCTCTACTTTCATAAATCACCCACGTGGCCTTCAGCTGTTAGTGACAGGGAAGTGGACTAAGACAGGTGCTCTCATTGGTGGTGTGTGGACGCTACAGAACCGCCACAAAGCTACACGCTGTGTCGTGAGGTCAGCTGCGGGATGAGCACGAAGCGTGCTGCTCTCAAGTGTTCTAGTGACCTCTGCGATACAGTTTCCTGATATTGAGAGGCTTTTTTTTTTTTTTTTTTAAGAGATTTTTGCTATAGGGTGCATGTGTTTTTCTGGAGAGACAGAGAGAAAGCAAGCAAGAAATCATTCACACAGCAATCCCCTCTTCATTCTCCTCTCAGGACTGTGGACATACACACACGTGCACCCGACATGAGTTGTAAGAGGCTGGGTCCAGGACTCGAACTGTAGTCAACTACATGGGACCACAGTTATGCCATCTGCTGGCCCCAACAATAAAAGGTTTTAACATTCAAAAAAGGAAAACAGACTGGGAAGTAAAGTGGCCTCATTAAAAAAAAAGAAAGAAAAAAGAAAAAAGAAAAAAACTTGCCAGAGAGCACATGTTCACTAGAGAGAGAGAAAATGAGAAAGCATGCCCCTCAACCGCCATGGGGGACAGTCATGATGCAATCCCTTCTCCTCCATTTCTCCCTCCTTTTGGCATTTTTAGACATGCACACACACACGTGCCTGGCATGTTGTTTAAGCTGCTTGGTCTGGGACTCAAACCTCACAGTTCACCATGTGGATCCAGCTGCCTTAACCACCACACCATGAGTCTCTTCAAAGCTTTAAATACAGGAAAAATGCACACAAATAAGAGGAAAGCTGCTGCTAAGGGTGGGTGCCACCTTGCAGTTACGAGGAGGTGATTCATGTGTTCTTACTCTTCCCCTGTGGCCTTTTCCTGTGTCAGGAAGGATGTACAGCCCTGGGGGGAAGATGGCACCAGAGACCCCACCTGAGGGAGGGCAGGGCCAGTGAGCAGCCACAGATGTCTACGAATGAACATGGTTCGTGATATAAAAGGTACTTTTGTATATGATAACAAGGAACATTTTAGATAAGTGGCACATTTTATATGATGTGACATAGAAAGTGCTACAAAAAGGTGCCTATTATAGTGACAGTGTTAGGTTTAATCCAGAAAAATGTCCCTTTCCATGTTATCTGTCTTTTAATGACAATTCCTCTCGCTAAGCTGTTGAATCAATTGGTTGAATTGTAAGGATAATGTATGTGAAGCACTTGATAAGCTGCAAACTCATATATTATGGTTTTTCGTGTTAAAGAAACCACTTCTTCAGGTGTGGCGGCAAGTCCCTGGTCTGCAGGCCGAAGGGTCAAAATCTGTTCCTCCCTAGTCTCTGGGAGCAGCATAGCACAGAGGATGGGGATGAGAGCGCAGGCCCACAGGCTGGCTCCTAGCTGGTCCTGTTACTAGGAACTTGCACAAGTCACTCGTCTGTCTGACAAAGAACAGGTTTTAACTAGTTCATCTCTAAGTTCCTTTCTAACAAAGAGTTTTTTTTATTTTGGTAAATGAATGGCTTATGTTCTCAGGCCAGTAGGTGGCATGGAGGTCAAGGCACTGGCTACCAGATGGCTGACATGGGTGACTGTGTAGTTCGAGTCCTGGACCTGGTGGCTTGAAACTCATGCTGGGCATGTGTCTGTGCATGTCCAACATCTCGAGAGGAGAATGATGGAGAAGGAATTGTGGTGTGGCCATTCCTCCTTGGAGGTGATTCCTCACTTTAAAAAAAAAAAAAAGGCTCATGTTCTTTTTTTTTTAATTATCAGAGGGTGCATATGCTCAGTGGAGGGAGACAGAGAGGCAGAGAGAGACAGCGAGGGAGAAAGCATCCCCTTTGTGGGTGTGGTTACACTTCAATTCATTCTCCTCCATTTCTCTATTCTGCCAGGATTGGGGGCATGCATGCACCCATGCCTAGTGTGTTTTTTGAGCCACCAGGGTCAGGATTCAGATTGTGGAAGACCATGTGGCACCCTTAACTACTAGGCTACAGGGCTGGCCCAACCAACGATGCTGAGCCTCCATTTCTAAGGTGAAGATTTGTCATGAGAGACTTACAGTTGCCGATGGATTTTACAGCTAGGGTTAGAAGAAATACATAAGTAAAACCTCTACCTCTGAAGTGTAAGCACTTTTCCAAATCCTAAGTAGTTATCATTCAAAATAAACTTGTCGCAGGTAGTTTTTCTTTTTTTTTTTTTTTTAAAGAGGTACAAATTATTGCCCACAGACTTGAAAGAAAGAAAGAATATTCTTGAACCCAACCTGATAAAAACGTCGCCACGACGGCACTGGCTGTGGGAAGACGTAGGCGCAGAGGGAGGACAGAGGGGCAGGCACAGGACAGCAGAGCCGCCAGTGACCACAGCTACACACTTTCTACGCAGATGAGGGCCAAGTTGCAGAACCTGGCACCAGGACCAACTCAACTTTCGACTTCCAGTCTTTTAACAGTCTCCAAAAGCTGAGGTCTGTTCCTGGAATGGAAATTTCTCTCTCTCTTTTTTCCCCCTAAAGTACCCTTTTAAACGGTTTCAAAGTTGTGCAGTGTTTTGCTAATATTTTAGGGAACTATGGAAAAATCTTCACGCCATACAAAGAAATAATGCCAGCTGGGGAGCAGGGTTGTCTAGGGTCACTGTTCTGGAATATGCTATCAGAAATTCCTTCTCCGTGAGCCAGGGCTGTTGTTTCCAACACCCCCCAAGTTTCACAAGGGACCAACTGGCAGGAGGGCTGCTGGTGGCGACAGGGGCAGCCGAGGACACAAGGTCATGACTCAGCGGTGTCAGGCACTCTGCAATGGGGTATTTGTCTCGTGTTGCCCTCGTTATAGCTATTCGGGTGTTAGGTCAATGGATCAAATATTAAGCTGTGGGCTTTGAAAAAATGGCCATTACGGATTAAAACATATGCGGGTCTTGATTTTAAAGGACTACTCTTGTGAGAATGGGGAGAAGGCTGTCAGTTACTGCAGTCCTGTCGACAGCATCGCTCGCACTCCCACGGCCGTGGGTCCTCTTAGCTAGTTAGGGATGATGACGACCTCACACCCCAGCATGGCTGCCGCACACTTACGCCGCGTATACTGTCCGGGACCAGACAGAAAATGTGCATCCCCAACAACAAACAAGGAAAACTGAACTGAGTTCAAATGACCCACAATTCTTCTTTTCCTCTGTTCACCTCCATCACCATAACCAGAAGGGCACAGTCCACAAACAAGACTGCTTGAGTAGTAGGTGTTTTGTTCTTGTCGATACGTGCATAAACAACCTTAAATCACAGACCATGTCATTTGGATTACAAAACAGTACACAGTTTCTCAATTCTTTCCCCCCTTTTTTTTTTTTTTTGCTAGAGGGTGCACATGCTCACTAGAGAGAGAGAGAGGGAGAGTCCCCGCTATGGAGGATGTCACACTGTGTCACACTGCAATCTCTTCTCCACGTCTCCTTCCTGTTGGGACTCATGCACATGTGCCCAGTGTGTTTCCTGAGCTACCAGGTCCAAAATTCAAACTGCATGGTCGACCACGTGGGATCCAACTGCCTTAGCCACTGGGCCATGGAGTTGACCCTCTGGATGATTTTTTTTTTTTATTAGAGGTTTTTGCTATAGGGTGCATGCATGCGTCAGAAAGACAGAGAGAGACAGAGAGACAGAGAGATAGAAAGTGATACATCACCCCCTGGGGGGGTGGCCATGCCGCAATCCCTTCTCCTCCATACTCCTCTTGGGATCTTGGGCACACATGCACAGGTGTCTGGCATGAGTTTAAGGCACCGGGTCCGGGACTCAAACCACAGTCGACTGCATGGGAGTTCAGTGACATAGCCATTACGCTAACTGCTGGTCCCCCCTCTGGATGATTTTTGACATTGTCTTACACGTAGAAATTACCCACGGGCGTCTGATGAAGAAAGCTGCATGTGGTTCATTCCGGGTGTGCGAGAGACCCCCACAGGCCCCGTGGATGGTGCTGTACCAGCCACACTGTTCACAGCTATATCCCTGCCAGGCAGACAGGGCCTGAGAGCCGGGGCGGGGCTGATTAGTACGTGCTGAGTGACGGACAGACAAGTGGGGCTACATCAGCAGAAATGTCACTGGAGAGGGACGTTCCCAGGGAAACTGACATTAATACTGGCTCGATGTGGAAAAGGGACAGGGATGGTTGCAAAGTTAATTTTGAACGTTCTAAAAAAATAGATGAAACTGTTTACAGTAAGACAAGAGTATTACACAAGGTAGTGGCAAAATTCGCGTTTCCTGAGCACTGAGTCCCAAGAAATGTCAGTAGATCCTTGATTCCTAGAATCACGGTTCTCGTCGAATAACAATTGCTGACATTTTGGAAAGAAAATGTTTTGAGGAGGTTAATTAATCTAGCATAACATTACATGGTAACAAACAAGATTTCTCCCTTTCAGATGGCAACTCTATCCTTCAGGAAAACCAAAACAGAAAGAGAAAGAGATTCTGTCCTCACCGTCAGTGACAGGGCCATGCACACGAACGTGAACTTCTTGATGTGGGCAGACGTGACAGTGTTGTTCGTGCTCACCACTTTGTTGCTGGGGTTATTCTGGGGGAAAAGAAAATGACAGTGATGACTGGGCTCTGAGCTGTCCTTGGCTGAACCCCCGGTGGCTCTTAAAGAGCGCCTCGTGCTGTCTGGTTTGATGTGTCTGAAGTATGGGTTCCAAGTGACAGCTTGGGAGGCGGTTGTCAGGATGGGTCTCTCGCAGACAGCTGTCAAGTTCCTGTATGGGAATATTATCCAGAGCAAATTCTAGACTAAATCTCCAGTGTGAGTCCCTGCCCAGCCCAGAGCCTCACCTCCTTCCAGCCCCAGCAGCCCCCGTGCCTGGCTACCATGGGCCTCTCTGCACCTGCCAAGCCCTGCTCAATGACCTTGGGGGTTCTCCTCCCCACTGGATGGACTTCAACTCCACAGGGCATACAAGGCCCTGCTCAGTCTGACCCACACTCGCTTGCCCACCCCTGCTTTTCAATCTGCTTCCCAGGTGGGGTTTCTTCTCTCTCCCTAACATGCCTTATGCTTTTGTCCCGCCTCTCACTGGATCATGTGACTTTCAAAACCACGCCTCCCTTCCAGGCCATCATCTCTACACACAGCCGATCCATTCCCTGCAGCCTCTCTGGGTTTCGGCCCCACTTCCTGTGCCGTGGTTGACCCTGGATGCTGTCAGGGCGGGGCCCTCTTCCTGTGAGGCTGTGCTGCTCGGAGATAAAGCCCCATGTGTCTCTCCCAGCTCGTTAGCCTGGAAGCACTTAGCACAATCTCAGGGAGAAGGCGCTTGGAGAGCATGGGCTGCATGGGCTTGAAGCAGACATGCAGGTGCTAAGGCTCCTCTTCACTGGTGGCATTTGAGCTTTCTGGCCGCTGCACAGTGGGCTCCCTGCACCCACCCCTGAAAGTCAGCAGACAAAAATAACCTGGCCTCACGTTGGATCCAATTAGTCCCAGAGCTAACAAAAACACGCCCTGAACACCTGGTTCTACATCCAGCTCAACACAAACCACAGGCGCACGCAGTGCATGCACACACACACACACACACACACACACGGGCGTGTGCACACACATTGCTATTATAGAATCCACTTAGAAAGGGCTTTTGAGAGACCAGCGGATGGCAAAATGGTTACGTTGCTGGACTCCCGCGTGGTCAATCGCGGTTTGAGTCCTGGACCCAGTGGCTTAAAACCTGCACCGGGCACGTGTGTGTGCATGCCCAAAATCCCAAGAGGAGAATGAAGAAGAAGGGATTGTGGCATGGCATTCCCCCATGGGGAGTGATTTCTCGCTTTCTGTCTCTATAGTGAGCAAAAATCTCTCTAAAATACAGCAAAATATGTCTAAAATATAGCAAAAAATATCTCTAAAAGAAAAAAGGGGGCCTTTGCATGTCCTTCTCTGTGGAGGCAAAGGGACTGCTCTTGACTCCCTTCCTTGTGCAATACCACCTGCACAAACCTCTGAACGTTTTCCCAACTCCAGTCTCTAAAAGCCATCTGCTTTTGCGAATGCCAGTCACTGCCATACCAAGGGCAAATCTCGGCCTCCAGCTACTACAGTGTGCTGCCGGCGGGCAGAGTCAGGGATGGTGCTGAGTCAGGCGGCCACGGCGCACACACCACCCACGGTGAGGGCAGCGTGCTGCTGTTCCTTCAGGGGTCATTTATCCGTAAAACAGCGCATGTTTTCACAAATACAGTTGAAATAAACTAGGACATATGCGCGGATCAATATCAGTGCTCATTTTGTTTGTGAGGTCCACTCAGAAGCACACCCTCATGCAGGTGATACCGGAATATCAGAATTTGCACGCGTGGGAATTTCTCTCAGTCCACATGTTGCTAGAATTCCCAGAAAGTGTGGGAGAAATTTACATCTCTTATTCTGGAACTCCTAACGAGGCTAAGGATTTTCACAGTTACTGTAGTAATTCTGAAAGTCCACACATGAAGAAGGGCATAAGATTTTGCGAATAGACAGCACTCACGAAAGCGGCTCAGTGTAATGCGCTGGGATGTCTGGAAACAAGGGGAGGTTTTCAACGGATCCCGAGTAACCTGAGTTTCTGGCTAGAGGTATGTATGCTCGTCAAAGGGCCCCTTCATAGCTCCTAAGCTCTGGGATCACAAGCACAGCACCATTTTTCTTGGGTCACAAAACCATACAGTGTGACATTGCTGGATTTCCTTATTTCAAGGTGGCCCGAGCCAGCTTCTGATGGGACTTGTGCAGCTGGAAGCTCCGACCCTTCAGAACCTGCCCTTCCCGACCGGTGCCACTATGTGATCCTGCGCTCCAGGAGCTGGCCCCGAAATTGTGCAGGAAGACTTCCATCCATTTTGATTTGCTAGGGTTTATTTCCACACACATTTCTTGAGAGGAAAACAATTTCTAACCGTTGATTGAATTCTCTCCTCCTGACACACCTGCTGTGGTGTGAAGTGGACCCACTCAGAGTGCCCACTCGCTCCTGAAATACCTCACACCTTCTGCAAGCCGGAGAAGCAAGGGCTTATTTATTTATTTTAAATGCTTGACTTTTTTTTTTAATCTTTATCTATTTTTTATTATTAAAATTTTTTTATAGATTCAATAACCGTGTAGCATTACAGCTTGCAAAATGCCTTTTGCCAGCATGAATACACTGCATATCAATGCAGCTAAAGATAGCATCATCCACGTTAGCGTCAACAGGTACTTTTCCATTTTTGCGTCCCTTCAGTGTTGGTGAAGCAAGGATTGAAAGCACCTTCAGGAGAAGCTCTGCATTCTGAGGCCCGGCCAGAGTCTGCAGTGGGTGGAGGCCCTTACCAGTACCTGCCACAGAGGCGCCACGCCCAGGAAAGGGCTCTGGGCAG